AGTTGACGATTTTTTGTATACCCCTGTCTTAGAATGAACCAACAAAAAGGTGATTACTTCACTTTAAACATATTTTCAAACCAAACCCTTAACGAAAACCAAATAATATAACAACCCCTAAAGTTATAAACTTAATAAAACTTGGTAACTATGGTTATAACAATATATAGCAATGTCAGATTGTTGGCTGTAAAACCCAAAATAATATTATAGTAGTCTTTAAGATATTTTTTATAAATAAGAATGATTACCTAAAATATTGAGTAATTAAATAAATTAATTAGAAGTGTTAAATTATTTATTTGATTAATTGAATGGAGTAGTTGTAGAAATCATAAAATATGAACTAACCGAAACAAGAACCAATATGGAAATAAATTGTTGATTAAGGGTGAAAAGTGTAAGTTTTATCAAAGTAGTGAGAGCAAGGGGCTAGATGTAAATCTCAAAAAGTTCAGGGGGACAAGAGTCATATTTTTCAAAGATAAGGGCCTTATTTTGCCAATAGTACATCTCTTTTTGGAGATGGTGACCTCATAGCTAAAAACCGCGATTTCAACCTGATTTTTCTACTAATACGCCAAAACTATTAACATATAAATATAGAGCACCGACTTATGATCTTTTTCATTCATATAACTTAAAAAATCATTAAGTTTTGAGAAAGAAATATGAGTTTGAAGTTCAGAATCGTATTTGAGTTTGTTTGAGTACTCTATTAAACCCCAACAGCCTCATGTTAAGATTTGTAATGTGAATGCCTTTACGTTTTGCAGAGATATAAGGTGAATGAGAAGATCGAAAAGTTGGAAGAAGAAAAGATTTTTTGCGTAGACGAAAATACCAAAGGAAGTTATTCATATTCAAGCAAGTTTCAATAATATCATTGTCTCAGATTTATGTTTTCATGGTTCAATTGTTATGTTTTCAAGTAGTTGAGTTTTAGTTTTGAAGACAAAACTTTAAATGAGAAGATGGAACTCATTAGTCAAAAAAAAAATTTGTGTTCTTCATGTCAAAACGTTGTTAAAAATGTTACCAAGAGTTTTATGCAAAAAGAATGAAGTAAAAAAGAGCAATAAATGAACCATTTTCAAGCTCAAAGATGAACAACCATGGCTACTTCTTTTTGGGTCATGAACGGGGTGGGGTCGGTCACGAACTAGGTGGGTCGGCTCAAGATATGACCCAACACCCACGTGTCGACCCGTTAAAAATAGAGAACCTATGCAAGGGGTTGGGTTTAATCACGTGGCCCCAACGATGAAACAAAGCACTTTAACCAACTTAACTAATGTTTTAGGGGTTGTTTGTAAATTGTTGAATGATTTGGTGCAGAATGATTAAGTGGTCAAAATGATTAATAGGCTCTCATGATATAGTATAAAATGAAATATAATTGTTTAGTAATTGTTTATAATGAAATCATTCAGAGGGTTTTAGAACCATGAAGAGTCAGACTTTTTTCTGTCAAACAAGATTTACCTCTTAACGATTCAAAAACTGCCTCTTAATGGGACTATTAAGAGGTAAACAAACAATCACTAACTTTTATTTTATTAACACGGCAGATTTCATTTATTTATTTATTTATTTATTTACAGGTTTCATTAATATTCATTATATCCCCTAGAGCTCTTGAAATCTAATTCAAGCAATATTAACTTACTGAAATTTTCAGAAAGTTTTTTTTTGTACTTAAAAAATATTACGTTTGACTTGGTGTTCTTTATTTCTTTGAGCTTAAAAATTACCAAAACGACCCTACAAATAGAAATCAGTATTTTATCAATACTACGAGTGTTTGCTCTTTAAAATTACCGAAATAACCTTATGTCTATCGAAGTTTTTTTTTTTGTTACACTCTTCGTGAAATTACCAAAACAACAACAACAAAACTCAACCGCCAAAAACATCTAGTTTCAAGAAGCATACAAAAACGACGAAGAGTAATCAACTAAATCACAATTCAAAACACGTTTAAATGATTTTGACCTTTTAATTGTTAACTAAAAAACCAAGTTATCATTTTAATAATATCGTTCAGATTTCATCCTGGAATTTGTTCATTTTAACGGTTTCTTGTCCCTCAATTTTATTTAGTTGGTTTTCGTGTATAATGTTTGTTAATTTCAGACGGAGTTCATCCCTCCATCTAACGATTGTTAACTTTCTTCATTAACTCCAATTAAATAAAGGTATTTTAATCATTTCATCTGTTTTCTTATTTTTGTACTAAAAACTAGAAAAAAAAAAGTATTTATATATTATACATATGAGGAAAAAGTGTAAGAAAATGAAACCAATTCTTATTTTGATAAACCAACTTTAAAATCTTCATTTTAAATATCATATATTAAGGGTCTAATTCATCTAATCTATATCTATATTATCTTATAAAGCATTTGGCTAAAACTTTTAAAAACTCTTAAAACTCTTAAAAACTCTTAAACCTGTTCATCCCTATCCGATTTCATCCCATATCTGAATTCGTGTAACTAACTGCA